AAAAAATATTTAGGGAAAAAGTGCAAAATTATCAAATCAAACTTTTAAGAAGACCTATCATTATTAAATCATATATCCCTATCTAAATTATGATTATCATATATCATTATCAAGTATTATTTTGAATAACAATACTGCTGTGTCCAAAAAGTAAGACCAATTTTCAATTAATATTTGCGGGGCTTATGGAATTTCAATTTTTTTTTCTTTTTTAGGTTGCTGGCACTGTCCTTGACATCTGTGTGAAATTTCACGTCAAAATCTTTATTAGTGTTTGAGTTCACCATATTCACACCGTGCGACTTCTGGCTATTCCCTAAATTCAAAAGACCACTCCGGGGACACCGTTTTGAGTCGATTGAAGAGATTCAACGTGAATCGCTGCGCGCTTTGAAGACCATCCCTGCCGATGCAGCATAGCATTGACGATTTGAAAAAAAGTTGGCATAAGTGCATTGTGTCCGGAGGGGATTACTTTGAAGACCATGAAATAAATTTGGAAAAATAAATAAAGAATTCAAAAAAATAAATAAATAATAATAATAATTGGTCTTTTTGGACACAGTAGTATATAAAAAAAAAGACTTTTGAAACGGAACAACTTAAAAAACAAAACAATCTCATACAATATTTCGAAAAATCCTCATTTAAATTTGAAGAATATTTCTGAACATCAATAAAATGTAATAATAAATTTAATAATTTAATAATTAAAATATTAATATTTTATTAACAGTTTAATCTGAATAAGAGCTCTAAATTGCCCTTTTTTTAGTCATACAGATATAGTATAATGATTATGTGTTGTCATAACAAAAGTTTTCTTTCATTATTTTAATATAAAAATTTTGGAAAATGTATTTTAAATTTAAATTTAAGCTTGAAAAAATATCATTTTCATATTTGAAAGCAAGTAAGGCATTCTAGATTTTAAAAAAGTTTATTCTTTTTTCTGAGATTTTAAAAAATTTTCGTATGATTTGTGATTTATTTTTTCCTTAAAAAATTAATAAACTATTACGTTAATTTAAAAAAAAATCTACTAACAATTGCTAATACAGGAAAAAATACACATTTACAGTCAAGCATGAAGGTTGAATTCACGAACCCTGGTTTACAAAACCAGTGCTTTAACCTTGGATATGGCACCTTATAGAGATCGCTATTTAAAAAATATTTTCTAATAAATTATTTTTTTTATAAATAGACAATTTTTTCTTAAAAATCAATTAATTATTATGCACCTTTAAAATGATGATATTGCAATTACGGAATAAAATTATACAACGACTGACAAGCCACCAGTGAGGACTGAACTCACGACCCCTGGTTTACAAGACCAGTGCTCTAACCACTGAGCTATGGTGGCGCGTCTTTGTTGTAAAATAATTATTTCAAAGTAGCTACATACAAAGAATTTGCTGTTGTGATTTATTAAAAACTTTAATCGTCATCTTGTATTGAAAGTCTTACAATTAATGCATGATAAGCGTATACTACTCCAAGTACCAAAAGGTTAAGAGCTAAAGTTATAAGCGATGAAAATGGACACTGATTAGATTCACATATAACAAAAAAAAAACATTTTTTCCTTTGAAATTTTACATAATTCTATTATTTAACATTTCGTATAATGGAAGATAAGATTCTTAGGGAAACTTATCGACAGAGTAGTAGATTACCATAGACCTATCAATAGTTTGTTTAATTTTGGGTACATAAATTGATATTGTTCATTACTTTTACGCAGATAAATAGTGGATTCAGCGCCTTCTAAGGAAGTTTTGTTGAGCTGCATTCACAAGGGATTGAATGAGAAAAATCTGCTTTAAGTTTTGTAAGTTTACTGGTTCATATATTTCTTAAAAATAAGGTAATTAGAAGTTCTAATTTAGAGGAGTTTTTTTTTTCCTATTAATTTCCATTTTTTTTTCTTGTCTTTAGTGGAATTTTAAAAAATGCCGACATAAACCTGTAAAATATCTGGAAAACAATACTTTTAAAAAATTTTTTATTAATGCAACATATTTCATACAGATTTAATGTATTTAAAATATTAATTTCTCTTTTTTTTTTCATTTTTTTATAAAAGTAAAAGATGGAACTGTACAAAATAATTATAACTGTAATTATTAAAAATAAAATAATTCAAAATTAAAAAAAAAAATTACCCAACAAGCCACCAGTGAGGATTGAACTCACGACCCCTGGTTTACAAGACCAGTGCTGTAACCACTGAGCTATGGTGGCTTGCAGGAATCCCCATAACTCCATTTTATAGCAATACTTTCATTACATTTAAACAACTGCTTCCTTACGTTTATTGAAACCATTCAACTTTTTACGTCAAAGTTGTAGTACTAAATACTGAATGGCTGTAGAGATAAATTTCTTTATCTGATGGAAGACTTTTTGACGCTATATTGCATTGTTACTCAAAAACACCTGTTTAATAACTATATAGAATAGTTCTTTTTATAAAACTGCAATTACTTTATTTTGAAGTGGAGAGTACTCAAAAATGGGACTTGGCTTGTTGAGGCTCTTTTTCTTAATTTTAGGCTTGCTTTCAAATGAAGGACATTTTGTCTAGAAATCATTCATTATTAGAATAGCAGATTATCATGCATATATACACTATACTGCCTTATATTGGGCAAATAATTGGTAATGCTAATCATTCTGATTAGCATTACCCATCATATGCCTCCCATAAATCGACCCGCCCCCTTTTTAAAATTAAAACAAATATCGAGCGTTATTTGAGGGGATTTACAGTTAAGAAAGATTAAAAATTCATATTTCACCTTAAATTTAAGTGTTTTAATTATTTTCAAATTTTATAACTGAGATAATATTAATCATTATTTGTACTTATATATATATATATATTACAAATTTTATATATATATATTAAAAATTCATATATATATTTTACAAATTTATATATATATTTTACAAATTTATATACATATTTTACAAATTTATATATATATTTTACAAATTCATATATATATTTTACAAATTTATATATATTTATTTATTATATTTACATATATATTTTAAAGTTCATAAAAAAATTATCTAGTATATGAAGGTTTTAATTTTTTTTAAATGAAAGTATTCTCATTGTCATTTGTCTGTTTAATACTTAAAAATTTATTTTTCAGAACTACCTACATACATTATCGCAGCTAATAAAAATGCTTCTATAACTTGCCACCTCCTACATACTGGGAAGAAAGCCTCCTGAATGATAATTTCTCCTAGAATGGTCAGCCGGTTTCTCGAGAAGAAGTACAGCGTTTCCCTGAGAAACGTTTGGTTTATAGTCTCACATCTCGAGAAGAAATATATTTAGCGCATTATTATAAGGCGTATTAGTTGGCCTACAGACTCTCCCCGGGAGAAGAAGTATATTTCGCGTACATTATCGCAGCTAATAAAAATGCTTCTATAACATGCCACCTCCTACGAAGCGTATCCTAGTTTCGGGTTTTCGACTTAAAAGTGGAGTCCTTCCACGAATCTATAATGATCTGTCTTTAAATGTGCTAAATAGTGTATGTCTCTAATTGTATGCGTGTGGTGTTTGTGCGTGTGTCAATAAAGCTGTGAGTTCTCAAACCTGTGCCTCAAGTATCTCAATCCAACCATAATAACCAGTTGCAATCTGGATGCCCTGACATGCACCATACAAAATTAAATTTAAAAAAAAATGCTTTTATTAAAACTGCCATTTAACAGTCACTCCATTTATATATAATTCATCTGATAAAAGTTCCAATCAATAAAAACGTCACAATAAATGTACAAAAACGCTTAATTTAATTTATTTTTTGACACAATTAAATTTTTCACTCCAATTTGGCAATAAGAACTTTTCTAAAGAATGAAAATCAGAAATGGAACAACACAAAAGAAAAATCGAAGCGAGAGCTGTATTTATTGGAAATCCATTCCACTCAATCTGTTAGAGGCGTTTTAGAACAAAATTCAACAACGATTCTTCAACGATGCGATCAATTAAACACTGCCTAAGGTGCTCCAAAAACCAAAAACATTAAAATGTAGGAAAGACATGGATCTCTACAGAAATACTTCAAGAAAAATTCATAGCTAGCCGTTACGCATCTGTAGGAAAATCTATTTGAGATTAACATATTATTATGTTGAATGCTTTTATATGTCCAATTTGTTTCCCAATCATGAGAATGCTTAACCACACGTTAAATTAACTTGCTATTGTGGCTTAAATATAGGAAATTAACCTGAAAATGTAAGTGAACAAGATGAATATTTGAGGAGTGCAGGTCTAAACGACTTGAAATAAAGTGCAATAAAAGTATTTAATAGCCTTTAGTTGTAATATTTACATATAATGGAAAGGTAATTGAAAAAGGCTTTAAAGATTTAAAAAAGAGTAAAAAAATAATGTTTATAAGTGCCTGGTACTTTGACCTAAAGGTCATTCGTCACTTGAAAGGCAGATATGTAGCATATTAAACTTTATCCATTATTATTAAACTTTATCCTTTATCCATCCCGTAAGGCTTGTTGGAATATATCCACAATTTGCCATCGCTGTTTGAAATGATTATCCTAAATGGTAGAAATTGAAGCATTTTTGCCTTTTTTCTATCTCAATGGCAGGACTATTTAGCCTACAGATTTATCACCCCTCATTCCAGCATATATATATATATATATTGTTGTTGTTTCTTATCCCACTTGGTTGGCCAAGCCCACGAGCCCATACGTGCTCATGATTGAAGGGGAAGGAAGCAGCTGCTGTTGTGATATAGCACCCGTAGGTAGAAGTCTGACTTTGGCTCCGTGACGCTCTTACAGTCACAGGAGACCGGGACCTACGGCTTAAAGTGGATTCCGAACCACTACAAACATCCATGGCACCACCGGGATTCGAACCCTAAACCTGTGGCACCGAGAGCCAGAGCGCTAGACACTCGGCCATTCAGGTCCCAAACTTGTGAATGCCAACGGCACGTGGTGTTCCCAGGTGCTCGCGCCCAATGATGCTTGACTTCGGTGATCTAACGAGAACCGGTATATTCAGCATGGTATGGCCGTTGGCATATATATATATATATATAGTATACATGAAATATATCCAAAAAATGCATGCATCTATAAACGAGTTCTACTTCTTACGTGAGTTCTACTTCTACGAGTACTTCTTATGTGACTTCTGCGACATAAACATGCAGCGTTTTCTAGCATTTAAAAAGATTTATATTTCCTTACAACAAAAAGCTTTCGCTCCGATCGGAAAAGATTTCTGCAAACTTTTATGTTTCCCCAAAAACTCGGAAATAAAAAACGATGAAACTTCTGGATTTCCTTTGCCACTCCTGTGCGTTTTTTTATCATCTAAATAACTGCAACTGCACAAGAGGATGTATTCAGCAGTGTTCCAAAAAGTTCTTTACTTCCCCTCCCCCCCCCATTCCACTCTTTCCTGACAAACCGATTCTGAATTGTTTTTTGCTAACAGTTTATGGAAGGGAAACTATTCAATTTAATATTCCCTCTCTCAGGGAGAATTTGGAAAGAAAACATCCATAGTTGTGCATGCTCTACTGTTTGTTCCCTAGCCCTTTTTTCTTCCCTTTCGTATTGTTTTTATCCCCCCCCCCTTTCAAAAAATAAAGATTGGAAGACATAGTAGAGTATTTTTTTAAGAGTAAATATAGCTCGTGACATTTTTAGTCGAGAATTTTCTGACCTCTTATGTATTAAGACAGACATGGCGTTATGGGAATAAAAACCATAGAAACTGTGATTAGAAAAAGACTATTTGCTGTTTGTCGAACGTGTGTTTTTGAAATGATTAAATATTGCAAAATAGGAAAAAAAAAACTTTTTTATTTAATCTTTACATTAGTTATTTATGAATATTTATATTAGGATAAATCTCTCCCATGTTTTGAAAGTTAGATAAAATCCAGCAAAGTTATAATCAAGATAAATAAAAGCTTAAAGTAAAGATTATGTTTGGGTGTATTTGTTGAAAGAAATAAGCAGCTATAGAGGAGGGCGTGTTCGGTTTTAGTTTTGAAACAGAAAGCGGAGATTCTTTTAGCTTGAAAGGTTTTATGATCTCCCAAGATGTAAAACTCACGACATTATTTCTAAATATATTTAAAAGTTGGTGTTTCAGATATATGGTTTTTTTCGAAATCGGGACATTTCGATTTAAAAACTCATGCTTACTTTTGGGATTAGAAGTTTTGTAACCTTCTCTTTACTTGGCATAAAATTCTATTCTATATTTTAATTCTATTTATTAAATTACATATGATTATATTAAGTTTAAATATATTAAAACTGAGATTTACCATGATCTGTACTAATTGCATATAATTAAATTCTTTGTCGTGATGTTTTTACACTTATTACAGCAGAGCTGAAATAAGGCGTTACACCTAAGACTCCACATCTCATATGCAGTCAAGATGATTGAAGGTTCAATTTGGTGGTAACATCTGTTGTTGTCATTGTTCGAGAAACAATCAGATTGGATTGCAATTATGATAGTGCATGTAAAGCGCATCGCATCGAAAGGCAAGTAGTATGGGGGAATTGCTAATTGTTGTTTAACGCAAATTCAGGACAGTTACCCGTAAATGTCTACACTTCATCACAAAATTGAGGGCTGCTGTGGCTTATATCAATGGAACACAAATAACACCGATAAACAAAAAAATTATGGAAGTTCAATATTGTATGTTTTCACCATAATGGCACTAATCTACAACAAATCTGACTTTATAATGGTGAATAGCTTCAGATCAAGCAGCCTGACATTGAAAACTATTATTTATGCAAGTTTTTGTGTTAATATGCACAGTTAAAATTTCTTATTTTTCTGCAGAAAAACTCATGCATATATAAAGGCGTTCTGTCTCTTATGTGACCTCGGCGACATAAACATGCAGCGTTTTTGCAGCATTAAAGGGATTTCTACTTACTCACAACAAAAGGATTTCACTCTGCATCGCAAGGATTTCTGCAAACTTTTATGCTTCCTAAAAACTCGGAAATAAAAAACGATAAAACTTCTGGATTTCCTTTCCCACTCCTGTATGTTTTTTTTTATCAGCTAAATAACTGCCGCCGCACAAAAGGATGTATTCAGCATTCCAAAAAGTTCTTTACTTCCCCTGCTCCCCCCCCATCCCTCTTATTCCCCTCTTTCCTGACAAACCGATTCTGAATTGTTTTTTGCTAACGGTCTACAGAAGGGAAACTATTCAATTTAATATTCCCTCTAGCAGGGAGAATTTGGAAAGGAAACATCCATAGTTGAGTGTGCTCTACTGTCTCCCCCCTTTTTTCCTTCCCTTTTGCATTGTTTTATACACCCTCCCCCCTTTCTAAAAATAAAGATTGGAAGACATAGTAGAATATTTTTTTAAGAGTAAATATGGCTCGTGACATTTTTAGTCGAGAATTTTCTGACCTTTTATGTAGTAAGACAGACATGGCGTTATGGGAATAAAAACCATAGAAACTGTGATTAGAAAAAGACTATTTCTTATTTGCCAAATGTGTGTTTTTGAGGTGGTTAAATATTGTAAAATAGGAGAAATTTTTTTTTTTACTTAATCTTTAGAGTAATTATTTTATATATATTTATATTATGACAAATCTCTCCTCTGCTTTTGAAGTTATATTCGAGTATAGTTATATAAATCTCGCAAAGTTATATTCGAGATAAATAAAACCGTGAAAGATTATGTTTGGGTGTATTTGTTGAAAGAAGTGAGGAGCTATTGGAAGGCATGTTCGGTTTTGGTTATGGAAAAGAAAGTGGAGATTCTTTCAGCTTGAAAGGTTTTATGATATCCCAAGATGTGAAACTCATGACAGTATTTCTAAATAAATTTAAAAGTTTGTGTTTTAGATATAGGTTTTTCGAGATCGGGACACTTCGAATGAAAAACTCATGTTTTCCTTTAAGATTAGAAGTTTTGTATCTTTTGATCATTAAAGATAAAATTCATTTTAATTTGACTGCAAGCAGTTTCAAAACCATTGGCGCTATCCTTAGGTTATACTTTTCTAATTGTAAGATCACCCAACACAAGGTACATTGATAACTTACCCAGTGCATGCAAGTGTGTTAACATTTGAATTCGGTAGTAACATCCGTTGTTGTCATTGCTTTCAGAAACAGGCAGACTGGATGACAATTATGACAGTCCGCATCGCATCGCAAGGGCAAGTAGTTTGAACTGGTTGAAGTTTTAAGGTTTTTCTAACACACGTTAGGGGCAGGTACCCCTAAAGGTCCATACTTTTTCACCTTTCAGAGGGCTGTTGTGGCATATATCAGTGGAACACAAATCACACTGATTAACCACACAAAAATACAATTGTTGCCTAACAACTGATACTAGTCACGAATAAAATATGATACGACCAATCGACTACAAATTTGATGTTTTAGTGTGGAATAGCTTCAGATCAAGCAAAACTGACAATGAAAAACAATTATCCTTGCATTTTTTTATGTTAATATGCACACCTAAAATTTCATTATTTTTCTGCAGAAAAAATGCATGCGTATATAATCGCGCTCTGGCTCTTATGTGATCTCTGCGACATCAACATGCAGCGTTTTCCAGCATTTAAAGGAATTTATATTTACTTACAACAGACAGCTTTCACTCCGATCGGAAAGGATTTCTGCAAACTTTTATGCTTCCCAAAAACTCGCAAATAAAAAACGATAAAATTTCTGGCTTTCCTTACCCACTCCTGCGTATTTTTTTTATCATCTAAATAACTGCAACTGCACAAGAGGATGTATTCAGTAGTGTTCCAAAAAGTTCTTTACTTCCCTTCTGCCCCCCCCCATTCCACTCTTTCCTGACAAACCGATTCCGAATTGTTTCTTCCCTAACGGTCTATAGAAGGGAAACTATTCAATTTAATGTTCCCTCTCGCAGGGAAAATTTGGAAAGGAAACATCCATGGTTGTGTGTGCTCTATTGTTCCCTTCTCCCTTTTTTCTTCCCTTTCGCATTGTTTTATCCCTCCCCCACCCTTTTCAGAAAAAAGATTGTAAGACGCAGTAGAATTTTTTTTATTTAAGAGTAAATATGGCTCGTGTCATTTTTAGTCGAGAATTTTCTTACCTTTTATGTATTAAGACAGACATGGCGTTATGGGAATAAAAAACCATAGAAACTGTGATTAGAAAAAGACTATTTGCTATTTGTCGAATGTGTATTTTTAAGGTGGTTAAATATTGTAAAATAGGAGGAAAGATTTTTTATTTAATCTTTAGAGTAGTTATTTTATGTATATTTATACTATGATAAATCTCTCCTATGCTTTGAAAGTTAGATTAAATCTCGCAAAGTTATATTCGAGATAAATAAAAATTTGAAGTAAAGATTATGTTTGTGTGTATTTGTTGAAAGAAATAAGAAGCTAGAGGAAGACATGTTCGGTTTTAGTTTTGAAACAGAAAGAGGAGATTCTTTTAGCTTGAAAGGTTTTATGATCTCCCAAGATGTAAAACTCATGACAGTATTTCTAAATAAATTTAAAAGGTGGTGATTTAGACATAGCTTTTTCGATATCGAGGCATTTCGGTTGAAAAAGTCATGTTATCCGTTTGGAATTAGAAATTGTATAACTTATTCTTTACTTGATTATTAACCATAAAATACTATCCTATATATTTAATGAATAAATACATAAAAACACAAATGGCTATATTGCGTTTAAATACAGAGATTTATTATGATCGGTACTATTTGCATCAAAATAAATTCTTTATCGAGATCTTTTTACACTTATTACAGGAGCTTTGTAATAAGGTATTTATCAGTTATAACGTTGTTTCATTTCAAGTAGTTGATAAGGTTTAAGCTCGTCAACTTATAAACACTGTGTCAACTAATAAATGCTTTATTTCAGTGCTTCTATAATAAGTTTAAAAACATTTAGTTTGATGCAATTAGTACAAATCACTTATAATGTATACTTAATATTATGATATATATACATGGATATATTTAATAAAAATATAGAATAGTATTTCATGGTTAATAATC